CAGGTGAATGAAACTTACAGACAGCAACGGTATAGCAACTTTGCCTAGAAAGTCAGCACTCCGATCGCGGTCTTCGTCATAAACTGTCACTTCAAGCACCGAGTGGATGTCTTTAATATTGCTACAAAGGGAGAAGCACACACCGAAGAGAGAAGTCACCTGCACCAGCGGGTACCAAGGGCAAAACTGTGAAAGGTTAGCAAAACCAGACACCCATCTATTCTTCCAAACCATGGCAGAGAACAGAACCTAAGTAAACGAGACATCCCTCTGCACAGCCACAATCCTTTTTGCGGGCGGCAGCGACTGCGCTCCCTCTCTGCGAGCCGTCCCCAGCAGAAGTTTTCCGAAGGACGCTGCGCCGAAGCTCCGACCGGGCGCCGCGGGAGCTGCAAGGAGAGGCGGCGCGGAGCAGCGCTGCGGGACTGACAGCCGCAGGCAGCAGGACCGAGAGCCCCTGAAGCCTACCCCCCTATTCCCACTGCAAGTACTGGGAGACCTGCGGGCTCGCCAACGAAAATAACTGCAAGCTACACAAGCACATCCTTGCGCTGAGAACACGCTATTTAATTCTAAAATCCTTCCTTAATTACGAATTTACAACAGTCATTGCAACGAATTATGAACAAGCAATACAAAATCATGCGTTTTTGCAGCTACTGCCGTTTTCTGCCAGCAAGCTATTAGGTACTCCACCACCACACACCACAAATGTCAAACTCTCCAGTGAAAAATTTGCATTGCTTATTCAGAATTAAAAACAGAATTATTTGAGAGAACCCATCTTTCCTAAAATGGCTGATCCAGGAAATATGAAGCCAAGCCAAGCAGTTTAACTTCAGTAAAATACATGCCTCCAGATGAAACTGGATTGCTAGCCCAAAATTAATTAACAAATCTGATAAATAAAACACTCAGTGCAAACATATGTAGAACAGAGGTGAAAACTCTCCTTGAAGGCCTTTTGAGTTTTTCTATTTGATTCCTGATTAGTCTTTTGTCCTTTACAAAACCAGGCAATTTCTTATGCAGAGAACACTGTTGAGCAGCAGAGGTTGATTAGTTATTGGCTCTATTAGTAAATAATTAAAAATAAATTAATGAAGAATATACTGTGGTTTTGCAGATACATAAATGAGAACTACGATAATCAGCTAATGAGAAGGACAACTGTTGTGAGATTTTTTCTTTTGTTCTGAGTTCATTCCTGAAAGCTCACTGCAGGGCAAGAAAAGCTACAGATGCCAAATACATGAATGACAAATTTAAAGGGGAAAGAAAAAGAAAATTGAAGTCAGATTGTGTTTTGAGGTCAACGGCAAAACATAGTATTTTAATTTATGATAAAGTGAACTAAGTGTACACAAAGCTAAAGCTTCTACTGGTTTTGCAGCGGATTGTTAGCTGATTTCAGCAGCAGAGAAACCTTCCTTCAACTGCTCAGTTTTCTACTCATTGGTGTCACATTGCAGTCCAACAGAGAGAAGCAGGGAGAAAAAGAAGGCAACTGAGTAAGGCAATTAAAAGGAACATTTTGTTTGTGGAAGACTTTTTTCTATTTTGTCACAGCCTTTTACTGCCATCAAAATAACAGAGGGATAAAAAAACCAACCACATTACTCCCCAGTAAACAAAATGTTTAAAACTGCATTTTACCCAATAGCAGCATTGTACTAGTATGATACTAGATGGTATTGTGAGAAGTGCAGTTCATAAATGGAAAAAACAAGTGGAGAAAGTATCTGATCATAGCTCAGAAAGGTATGAATGCATTTAAAATTCCTTCCTTTGTATAGTTATCTAATGTTTATTAAAGTTAATAACCACATTTTAATAAAGGTAATACTCACAATATCCTTTTTTCCACCCATCACACTGGATTTGGCCCTTAAAACTCTCACTAGAACTAGCAGGAGTCTGGAGTGCTTAGCATTACTCATACCTGGTTTCCAAGAAACAGACCTTTCTTTTTTACCTTTAAAATGGTACTTCTTCACTATTTTTTTTCATTGTTTTAATCCTCAAAAACATATTCAACTGCTTGGTTTAGAAGTATCAGTATGTCATCACTCTCTCTTTCTTCAGAATCAGCAGTACATATATCTTTGATTCACACATATATCCCCTTCAAAATACTTCTCCGCTAAAAAAAACCCAAACCCCAAACCCCCCCAAACACTCACAAAATCCGAACACCTACAATGTGAAGATTTTGTTCCATTCTGGATTGAGGTTCTTGTAGACAGTATGTGTCAGCAGTCTGTCATTGTTCAATTCAACTACACAAAATGGGTCACTTTTACCTAGAAGAGAAAATTTGGAACAAAAGTTATGAACTAAGAAAACCCACCATGAGCAAGTTTAAAGAAAAATTAGTTTTGTGGGGGTTTTTTTGGTTTGTTTTCCTAAGCTGCATTCTAATTCTCTCAGGAATTAGTTCAGAGAAGTCCTATGGCCTGCATTATAGTCAAGATGATCATAACAGGATGTTCATCTCTGTAACAGATTAACATACTTCACTAAAAGAACATCCTTTTTGGGAAGGGAAGGGAAGGGAAGGGAAGG